GAATGCTCTAAAATCATACTTATTTGTATTTTTTCCCTATGATACATCTGAACCAGATGGATGTTTATATTCTTATTTGTAAGCAAATAAACATAGGAAAATGTGAGCTAACCCAGCAAATGGTGCAATCACAGAGCAAGTGTGAAATAAACATTCTGCTTTTATGTTTGCTGAATGGCAAACAGATTCTTGTCTGATTGCTGCTGTATTCTCCATGATGCCAGACTGCCTGTGTCTTATTCAGCTGACCCCCTTGGCATGCAGCCTGCCTCTGCTGCTAATGCCACCTTGGTGCCATCTATGAACACTTCTACCAACCAATGGGACAAAATGGTCCCAAACACTGTGCTTACTTCAGAGCCTGGTTACTGCTTTCCCAATCTGCTTACCTGTCTCCCCTGTGCTAAACGCCTTCTTTCTGCTCAATGTGCGTTTTAGTATTCTGCTTTCCTCCCCTAATTATTCTGTTTCACTATGTGCAGATCTTCACAAGTTTCAAATTACATCTATTAAGCATTATTTTTAAAGCAGATTCTGAAGATGACAAGGCTATGATATTTCCTACCACACTAGACTGACAGTAATGATTGAAATTACATTTCAGATCTCCAGAGGAATTCGAACACTACCTAACAATGTAGCGTTACATGGTTACAAAGTTACAATTATAAAACCGCTACCTAACAAGGTAGTGTTACAGTGTTACAAAGCTGACAATTATAAAATAACGTTTAGATAAGCTGTGGCCAAGAATGACTATGAAATGGAGTAGTTATTTTAAGTCCCCCTGCTCAATTCATCTTGACTTTTTTGTTGTGGTGGTTTAGTCTGCCATTTTTATAAGTCAATATTTATCATTTTTTTTTTTTATGGTAAAAGTCCATTTGTATAAAATATCCAGTAAAGACTAGCAGAGTGGATGAAGTTGAAGAACATTCCTCCGGGCAAAGCACCATAAAAACAGAAAAGAAAGTACTCAATGTAGGCAAGTATTCATTTGCACATGAGAGAAAAACACAACCAAATTTAGCTGGAGGGTGAAAAGAGGAGAGAGGAGGACTGGTAAGCTCTCACCTAAGGGCACAGTGTGAGGGTATACGGCACGCCTCTGGTGAAGGGCCCAACCACAATCTCACCTTTACCCAAGAAACACAAACGATGCAATCCAGTCATTTGTACCCTCATATTAATCTGAAGTTTAAAAAATAGACTAGCAGAGAGGGAGAACAATCAGTGAAACATGACTGTTAAGGGGCATGGGGTTTCTTCTTTTAGATCTAATTTTGGAACATTTTATTATGTATTTTTAAATGGTATGATTTGCAACTAAATTATTCATCTGCCATGTCCTCTCAATCACTGGAAGACAATGCACTAAAAAAAAAAAAAAAAAAAAACCAGTGTAATAACTAAGGTTCAGTGAATTACTGGAACCACTTCATTTATTCTAAATAATTTTCTGTTAGTGAAGATTCACTGGTAACTATATGTAAGTGAGAAAGGAATACAGCATTTCAATCTAACCATTCATTGATTTGGTATATGTAGTATTAGTGAAAAATGTCACTGGCACTACTAACGGGATTTTAGCAGAAATAGTGAACTGTATGTGTAACACGCAACATAAGGTGTTCAGATAATGCTATGCTATTGGCATGTATAAATTTATAAACAATTAGACTAAAGAAGCAATAAAAATTTGATTTTTTGGTAATATTTTAGAAAATATAAAGCCATCGTATTCTCCCCACTGTGAGTATAGTCATGAAATATAAGAAGTTAGCTAACAAGAGATATTACTCATTGTCATACAGGAACTTAGTAGAGAATTACAATTTAAACCTTTTATACTTTTCCTGCACGTTAGAGAATATTCCAAATTGTTTGTACAGTTAAAGGAACCACTGAAGACACGGTTCTAGAAACAAAAGATAAAATTTTGAAATAGTAATTTTCCATCTGATCTTCTTGATACTTGCTATTTTTAAAAGCTTTCTCAAGTCTCTGAACTTTCTCTCTCCTGTCGAACCTACATCTAGACCCTGGAAACAGTTGTACCTTCACAAATTTGCATACACTTTCTGTCCATAAATACTCAGATTAAGAACACTCCTTCTATATATCGGACATAGAGTTTTATCTGGGATAATTGCTCAACAAATATTAGCTCAGAAAATTAATTATAGTTTTGAAAAATATCCAAACAGTGATATGAATTGAAACTGACAATTTACTCAGCACTTTTTTGATGAATTCTATTTCTTACAGGTAAGTTCACTTCTGCTGAGAAAAAACTCATTTACTTAAGCTTAAATATCATTGTTTTCTTGATTTTAGTTTTTGATAGATCTTTAAGCAATGGAAATGAAATGTACTTTAATTTTGATTCAAGAAATATATTTAATAACTCTGTTTTATGTCGAATATTTACTTGTTCACAATTTTTCATGTCTTAAATAAGAGAGAAGTAGTTGAGAGAATCTTAAAACATTTAAAAAATGAGGCAAATAACAAGTTTTTTGTCATAATTTTTATTGTGTTGACCTTAGCAGAGATATTTTTGCAAAATGGATCTACTAATTATTTGTGACATTCTTGTGAATGAAAATATGAATAGAATTCATACATCTAATGCAAATACATAGACATTCTAGAATCCTTGCTAAAGAGCTCAAATTACAGGCTTCAATCATTTGAGATGTAGAGTTCTTGCTCTTTTCTGGAGGGGTGGGCACTTGGTAATTATGAATAAGTCTAATCTGTCACTTGCTAAATCTTTGGCATTTGTACCATTAGAATCTAATTGATGGGAAGATTAAAAGACAAATATGGTTCTTACAACAGTGACATGCTCTGGTTCAGAGTAACAATAGAAAGGGAAACAACTACGCAGTTCTTTGTTCTTCTGAGTATTGAATAGGCTTGATTTTCAAGTGCCTGTGCAGTGAAAACTCTGAAGCCACGTTCAACTCAAACACGATCTTCCGAGGAGAACAAGACCTGTTCGTTGTAGCTTAATTGCCAGAGAGCAAAGGAGAAGATCATAGTGGCAAGGTGAATGGCTCTGTGTTCTTCTCACTTTCTCCATGTGTGAAATAATTATAGCATTGTAATGTCAGAGGGAATAAAATGTCGAGAATATTGTGACATTCTGTTTTATTGTAACCTATGTCAGCCTGAAAATAATTACATTTTTGAGGCAGCCCTGACAAAGTATATTGCAAAGTGTTGTAATCACTGAAAAAGGGTTTTTCTCTTTTGTCAAGGTCATACTGTTGATTTCATTTTTTTTCCCTTTATTTTATGAGCAACTAAAGTTTGTAAGTGGATGGTCCATGTCTCATTAGGAAAGAGTTTTGCTACCTTAGCCAACTCACGTAATTAGCATCTGAAATAGAGCAGAAGATTCCAGAATGGAGAGGAGACATTGAGAAGCATTTGGGAAATAGAATCTGGAAGAATTAGAATCTACTTTTTTTTTTTTTTAAATTTCAACATTAACATTAAGGAACTCTTTTTTCATTTTAACTAATTCTATTCTTTGTTGAGACTTATGGATAAAATTGCCTTATTATAAATATTTCCAAACTTCCTTGACTCAAGAAAAAAAAAATCAACAAGGAGTACAAACATGACCACTTCTAGCCAACATCCTCAGCATGGTTTGAAGGTAGAGAATACTACAACCCTCAAATTACCTGTAAATAACCCTCGAAGGTTGAACTCAGCAGCTGTTGCTACTGCAAACTTGTGACTCTGAGGAGCGGGAGAGGCAGACATAAAATAGAGACGTCTCAGAGGAAACATAGATAAATACACTTGGAAGGAGGGAGTTTGAGGTCAAAGTATTCACCACATTTCTAGGGCTCTGTAGTTGATAGCATTGGTTACAGGGAAGGAGATTGAAAAAATCAGGCTTGGGAGTTATAACCTTGAAGAACATTGTTTCTCGGGGATAATCTGAAAATGGAGAAGGGAATGTGCCCTTGGAGAAGTGGCTGTGAAGTGTGAAGAAATAAAGAAATAAAGAAAGAATAAGGAAGAAAAGAAAATAAAGAAATAATTAAGGATTTCCTAGAAATAAATGAATAAGCTGACATGCCAACTACTTTCCCTCCTATTACAACCACTACCATCCATTAAAGAAACCGAAACTCATCAAACTGACCCAAGGGAGTCCTCTTAAACCAGGAATATTGTCTTTCAAGTGTCTAGAAACAGTAAAAAAGTAAAAAACAAAAACCACAATCCCCTCATCAATTCCAGTCAAAACTACTGTAAGAACGGTAAGAAGCAGCCTAAAAATGTGAATTAAACTATTTCACCTGACAGGAAACAGAAGAAAAATGTCACAAAACCCTGCAAATTGAATGAAATATTCTCGTGTAAACATTTGGAGATAGGAATGATATTTTAAATCAGAAATTCAAAGACTAAACTTACAAAAGAAAGAAAGAAAATGAAAATTTTTCAAACAAAGGAAGTAAATATATGAGAATGACAGTATTAGAAATAAAGGCAAAACACAAAGTGATTGCGAGTGTTTAGTATAGTCAAGCAATAATTAGTGAGGGGCATTAGCAAGAGGAGGGAACCAAGAGAATGATGATAAGTAAGAGTCAGAGAGAAAGTGTTTGAAAGGGAAGAAGGCAGGTAGGATCCAATACATGTGTGATTAGAATCCCTGGAAATAACGAATACTGGTGAAAATGTGGAGAAAGGGGAAGCCTTTTGTATGTTGTTGGTGACTATGTGAATTAACACAACCATTGCAATGTATGGCAGTTCCTCTTGTAGTAAAAATCAAACTATCACATGATCCAGCAGTCCTATTGTTGGGTGTTTATAAAAAAACAACAACAGAGCGATTAGATCAGTTTTGAAGACGAGGATGGCGGGAACTGTCAGCACTGGCGAGCATGAACAAGCGGAGGGAAGGTTAGGGGAAGGAAGCCCCAAGGACCGGCTGAACTGTGACCACAATGGCGGGCTGAATGACTTTTTAGAAAATCTAGTGGACCAAAGGGCGCCGTGCCCTCGAGAGCGCACCGGAGGCGGGGAGCAAGGACATCTAGGTCCCTTTTACTACTGGTCAAGACAGCTTCATGGGGATCTGAGGAGATGGAGCGGGCGAATACTTTATGTCAAGAGGGAGAATCCAAAGGAGGTGTCTTAGCTCACTTGGAAAGACTAGAGAATGAAGTGAACAGATCCCATAAAGGTAAACAATCTGAAGAGCTGCAGAGTGCACAGACGGTGGAAAGTGCTCTTGAAACCAAGATCCGTAAACTGAGGCTTCTACGAGATGAGCTGAGGGCTGAACTGAAGCAATCCCAAGCCAGAGTTAAAGCATCTATTGCCAATGTAGAACCTGACCAAAAAGTAGAGATCAGTGAGGAAGAAGATTTGGAAAGAAAACAGGAAAATATGAAAGCCATTTTGCAGGCATATCGTTTTACAGGGCTCAGTGGTAAACTGACCAGCCGAGGAGTCTGCATCTGCATCAGTACTGCTTTTGAGGGGAACCTATTGGATTCCTATTTTGTGGACCTTGTCATACAGAAGCCTCTCCAGATACATCACCATTCGGTCCCAGTCTTCATTCCTCTAGAAGAAATAGCTGCAAAGTACTTACAGACTGACATTCAGCGCTTCCTGTTCAGTCTCTGGGAGTATTTAAATGCTTACTCTGGGCGGAAGTACCAAGCAGATCGACTTCAGAGTGACTTTGCAGCCTTTCTGAATGGGCCCCTGCAGAGAAACTCACTGTGCAACTTGCTGTCATTTACTTACAAAGTGGATCCAAGGGATCAGTCTTTCCAATTTTATGCAAGATTGCTGTATAAGGACCTCACAATGACTCTTCCCACTGATGTCACTGTTACATATCAAGG